GCATGTCCAAGTTACCATGATGATGTCAGTACAAGATTCAGTCCTTGCCGTACTACTTCAATTCACCAATAATAACTCTCAAATGTGATTATCTTATAGGAATGGCAATGGCATTCCAAATACACCAGACCAGAGCAGTTTCTTACCCTGTATCTTCCAGTAGAGCATAAATAATCCAGGAGAGTTTTCGGCAAAGTATTTGCAATGCAAGTATACGCCAAATGAGAGTGGGAAGTAGTTTCAAACAACTCCTCTGAATTCATGAAAAGGTCATCCAATTGGAGACATGGTAACAATCCACCGCAATCGAACAGATGATGACCAGGTCCACCACCTATTGAATGTTCTGGATTCTGGGCATCTTCAGCACATTTCTTACTGCAAAATCCGACCTGTTTTATGTGAAAAAGCACTATTGGAATTAGCTAATGGGACTGAATGAAGAGAGTTGCTCTATTTCGGTTGCTAGTTGCTATTTTGCATATTGGAGAGCTTTTACGTTTACAGAGAAATTGCGAATGAGTGGGAGAGTGGAACTTGTGAGCGTGGCGAGAAAGTGAATGGTTATTCATAAAGTAGAAGAAAGGTTGGGCAAACGCGATTCAACGAAAAAGAATACATCGGAATACTGGAGGTATTTCTCATTAAAGAAAAATTAAGTGAAAATCTTTCATGAGATCATTAGAAATCATTTCGTCTGAAAATATCTTTTTGGTGTCATGGTTTAAGATATTTACTTCCGTTGGATCAATCTCCACGATCAGATGGAGAATTTAAGATAATGCACATTGAATAATAAGCAAACACTGCAAGGTCATCAAAATTACCTGAGCACATCCACTGCAAGGCTGAATATTCAAGCACCTTCTATAGCAGTAATAGCAAAATTCCGTTCGGGGTGCAAGTTGTACCGATGCGTAGGGTTTCTCAACTACCAGTAAATCACCTAAATATGAATGTGCATATTTTCATCACAAAATAATTGGCATCCTACCCACGGAAATATCCCTTGAGGCTTCAAGAGTCCATCCTCGCTCGGAGTTGCTATTTCTAAGCTTTAAGATCTCATCTTTAACAGAAAGTAACTTAACTTGAGTATTTAAATTGACAGCTTTCCTCGTCTTATTCCGTTTTTTCTTATTCCTCAAAGGTACATCATCTTCAACTTTTGATCCATTTAGTGTTTTTGGGGCCAATGGATATGAGCAATTCCAAGGTGCTCGTTTTGAGAAGTGACGCTCAATGCAATCGCGTTGGACGTTTGAATATTCCTCCTCCAACCTTCTAATCGATGATTGTGTTGGAGAGTCCATGTTGCTGTCCACACACTGTAAAGCCTTCCGAAAGTATTCGGCTGCTTCAACAGGACAGACTTCTTTCACGTAACAGCGGGCTATGAAGGTATAAATCGACATCTTCTCTTTTGGTGATACTTCAAACTAATTTAAACGTAAACGCAAAGAGCATCAAATGAAAGCCGATGTGTTATCTAAAAGTCTTTCCCCAAACCTTGCCACACAGTAGCACAGGCTAAAGATGGCATCGTGGAGAAGTCCTTTTAAGCAAGAAGGAAATAGAGGCATCTGCAAATCTGCAGATTGGATTAAAGAAACTTTACGTCACGACATGTCACGAATGTTTGGCAAAAAATCGAAATTTAGACTCAATTCAAAGTTGGGTCGCAAGAGGGAAGGCAGTGTTAATATCAGTTCGCCAGCGTAACTAGTATGAGAATGAACTTTAAGACCGACTATCTAAAAGAATATAGTGACCAGTCAGCAAATAGGCTTCTTTATCTACCATAATTTTGCCGAAGGCATTCAGCAAAAATCAATGACCTATAAATCTTGTAAAATGTGTATATTTCTCTTACGATGAAGATATTCCTCAGCTAAAAACAAGTTAAAATTGAAAGGCAGTGGTTCGGGATCGTTGATGAAGTAAGGTACTCCTGATTGCATGTTTTCCACCACTTACCCTTTTCCAACCTTCTTAGTTGTAATTGTCTCTCGTTAGGTGTTTCACTGTACATTACCACGAGTACTAACCTCAAATTACACAAAATTCAACCTCATTTGTTGGTGGTAGAAAGACTGATTAATTTAAAGGTCGTCATGCCACCATCTGCTGCTAATTTACTCGCTTTTCGAACGGTTTTAGGCATTAAAACATCTCACCTAATCAAAATGTAGTATTACTTACCTGGAGAACACTTTTTGCATCACGTAATGATTCCTGAAAGCAATTTTTTTCAAAGTGGAGTTTGGAGCGGTTTATCAAAACGTCTTTTTTGACCTCGTCCGATTCTGCGTAGAAATAGGCTGTGTTGAGACAATTGAAGGCCAGTTCCCAGTCATCCATTCCAACGATCACTTCAGAGCTTGAATCCAAAAAATGATTTGCCATTACATCGGATTTCAGGTTCCCGCTTATTAAGCCCTCCTTGATTGGCGGCAATCCCAGGATCTCTATCCCATGCTTGCCTATTTGTTGACTTTATACCGATTAATGGTCAAACTTACCTCCATTAAATGCTTCCAATCCTTTAAGAATGAAACAAACTCGCTCAAAATCTGAACTCAGTTTATTAAAGGCTTGCTGTATGCTGTCCTTGTGGTAATTCATATTCGCTTTATCCAACACCTCAAGGTATTTCTGCACCAAGGGTTGATATTTCGCACTTCTTATTGCCTTTACATTTCTATAGACCTCTTCACTTCCTCCCTTAATAGAATTGATAATGAGACGTTTTGGTTCCATTTAATAAGCCAATATAGTACATACAATAGTTAAACCTAAAAATTGAGTCGGATATTCCACGAACGATCAGTTCGATGTACTAATTCGCCTTGACTGTCACAACGGTATAAAGGAAATCCTGTTTGAATTTCTATTCAAATTCTCGAAAGCCCACTTCGACGCCCATTTTGTTTAACTAATAAATTGAGAGTATTATGTAAACGGAGTTTTCCTTGAAAGAACTTCAGTGAGTTCTACAATTATGAAACGCACATTCACGACTACACGAACATGCAAGTGCCTTGGACCTCTATGATCAATCCCTCCACCGAATCGATCTACAAGTTCTGAATGTTTGGACTCACCGGCTACTCAGGGTCCAATTGCAAAGAATGAACTTTGAAATAGTTTAATGGTACAAAGTAAATTGAAGACATTTGGTGAAGGTGGAAAGGTCAGTCCCTCTAAGAATTACTGATATCCTAACTCTATTCCCCAACCACCTTCGAAGCCTTTCCACTGTGATAGCTTCATCATTCAGTTTTTCAGGTGGTAATTCGTGGTTTAGACTTATAAAAGGTCACTTGAAGGGCCTCAGAACACTCAACGGTTCAATAAATTTTACTTTGCCTATGTGCAAAATTACGACAGAATAAGAATTTTGAATTCAAGATAACTTACTTGCCTCTCCATCACGTCTAAGAACTTGTTTCTCTAAAAAGTTTCTGAGTAAACTTAAATGGTGAGTTAGAGTCAAACAAGGTTAATTTAAATTAAATCTGCATACTAGTTGTTTTTAATTTATTTGCAATCTTGCAGTTGCCGTTTGAAATAAATTGAAATTATTTATACATGTTTAGTGAGGTGCACGATAGACTTACCTTCATGTGGTGCACCCTGGGCAACGTATACTCATACAGCAAAAAGTCCCTTAACTCTATGTCACATTCGACCACCTCCACAGTGGTCACCTCACATTATTCTCTTCCTTTGTGTCTGTCTTTCTGTCTCACATCTGTCAACCACTCTTCCGTTTACCCCCACCACTCTTTTGTGACATTGATGTACAACCCCCCCC